AGTGGGCTGACTGGGATGGCTAATGTCCACTGGGAGCCCACTCTGTGAAAGGCCTGTCCTAGGCACTGAGGAGGAGAGTCAGCAAACGGATCCAAGCCCCTTCCTCAAGGAGCTGTCTTGTGCATCTCATGTGGGAGTTATACCTGCACTGGGGAACCCTGGGAAGATCCAACACAGGGAAGAGATGTTGACTCTTCTCTCACCCCTCCACTCTCCTCAAGACTGCTGGAGAAACAGTTGAGGACCACAGGCTGGATTGAGTTCAAAAGCTCCCACTTGCAGCCAAGGACAGGTAGGTCACTTCACATGGGAGGGAGAGAAATGGAAATGGAGCTGGAGGGAGATATTTGAAATCATTTAGAAGAAAAAAAAAAAAAAACAAACAGAACTTGGGGTACAGACTGAAAGAAAAAGAAGCATACAACAAGTCTGGGTCCCAGTCAGCACAAGCCTTGAGGCCGGGAGCCTGGGAGAGGGTGCACTACAAAAAAACCCACGGATCTCATTTACAGACACACTGAGCTACAAGGATTCTGAATTAAAACTCAGCTCGATGCTAAAAATTTAAAAGTAACCCAAATTAGCTGAAGAGTTTAGTGACTAACTGAATCCACAACAATGATTGGGATTACCAAAAAAAGTTAAGCACAAAGCAGCAATAACACAAAACAAAGGCCAGGACTGGAACAAACTCTACCCTGAAAGGCCGGGAAGAAGAGAACTACTCAGTTAAAAATAAGCATTCCCTGGGCCTGTGTTGTGGTGGGAAAGGAGAGTCATGGGGGTCATCAGTGAAGCGGGGTAAGTTTTGTATGACGTAAGGAAAGCAGAGACAGAGAACAGAGCAAAGGTATAAATGGAGGAAAGAAAACCCGAGTATTATTAGCCATCATATATTCATACAGATATGTGTAGATATTTGTACATTTCCAAAAATAAGTATGAGTTTCTATATAAACCAAATAAAACAAGTTCATATATGAAAACATACATATAAAAATTATATATAAATATGTAGCTATATAAGTTTTATATGTATAAATTCACCAACCTTCTTAACAATACTACGAAACAGATAGTGTTAGCCCTCATGCATGGCTTTGGGAGCCTGGACTCAGTAATTAAAATTCAGTAGCACATTAAGATCATGCATATATAATCCTTCTATTGTTATCACACACTCCCAATTTACCTTCAGTTGTTCTATTATAAGCACTCATTATGACCCCTAATTGTCCTTTATGTAGCTTACTATAACTGCAGCTATGTATAGTTTTTTTTATGAGTATTATGAAAAATGCCTATCTTTTCCACTGGAAAATGAGTTCCAAGAAGGCATACCCATGTGTGTAGCACATAGTAAATACCTAACAAATAAAACACATAGCTAGTATTTTTAGAAAAGTATACAATGGTGTAACAATTTAAGAGTCATCTGCATTGCCCATAGTTGAAAATGGTCATACCTTATTCCTAAGCAATATTATTCCTACGAATATGTAGAATAGTGTATGTGTAGATACAGCTTCATATACAGAAGGCTTTGTAAGAGAAAACTGAAAACAGTCCTATTAATAAAGCAATAATTACTGTGCTTATACATTTATAAATTTATACCTGTGAACTTTTATATGTAAGGGTGGATGTGTATAGATATACCAAGTAAAATTACTTTAATGCACTTAAGTTAGTTCCTACCTTTGGGTCATGGGAGAAAAATGGAGAAAAGGGAAACAAGTATCTTTCTTTTTAGATTTAAAAATTAAAATGAACACAAACCTTAAATTAAATGGAGAGAAAAGCTGTAACTATGTGTACTAGTAAAATGTACAAATTTACAATAGCCTTTCTATGTCAGATTCTGCTAAACTATTCAATTAATTTCTTCAAATCCAATTTTGTTTAGGTCTAAATCATACTATGAAAAACATACTAAATACAACTAGTGTGAAAGGAATATTTGAATCTCTATAAAGATCTATGCATTACAAACAGTAATCCTGTGGTGGACGACATGAAGATTTGGAGGCAAGAGGGTTGGTCACTCTATCTACTCTTGAATGTAAAATTCCTCATGTTGTATTAATAGGGGTAAGAATTATTTTTATTTGCCTACGATATTCTTGGTTTGTAAGTGTTCTAAGCTCTAGCAAAAAAAGAAAGAAAAATAATCAGGATTTGAAATACTATATCCCTGTGAAACTACTTGGTCAAACTTCCTGTTATGGTGGCTGTTACGCTAGGATTGCCAAAGCAGCCAGAAGCTGGGCAACATGACTTTCAGCCTTTTGAAGGACTCCAGAAGCACCTAGGAAAACTGACCCAGAAAGTCTTACAAACAAACAGGACCAAAACCAAGGATCCCTGCAATGAAGGGCAGCACAGTCACGAGCTTATGCCAGCAAGCCTAAGAGCTTTCTACAGGAGGAGGGCTGCTGCTTCCATTTCTCTAAGGAGCAACCACCATCTCAGTATTCTGAAAGAAGCATTGAGCTCCTACCAAAGCTTGGAACTTAGCAGGCAGTGGATACTAGTTATTCAACTGCTCCCCCACAATGGCCCATGATAGAAACCCCCAAATTTCAGTTAGAAATCTGAATATTATTCCAAGGGTATTCATTAATTCTATAATAGTTTTTCCTAAATCTCTCTTAAACAAAAAAAGAAGTTCCACTTTTTTCTTTCCACTATCATAATCCCATACCCAAAGGGATTATTTTATATTAGTTGCACTCTCCTGAAAAGACCAGTACATTTAATTTGATTATGTCTCGGGCCTGGGGGCATGGCCTAGCAGCTAAAGTCCTCGCCTTGAACGCACCAGGATCCCATATGGGCACAAGTTCTAATCCCAGCTGCTCCACTTCCCATCCAGCTCCCTGCTTGTGGCCCGGGAAAGCAGTCGAGGATGGCCCAAAGCTTTGGGACCCTGCACCCGTGTGGGATACCCGGAAGAAGTTCCTGGATCCTGGCTTTGGATCGGCATAGCATCGGCTGTTGCGCTCACTTGGGGAGTGAATCATCGGACAGAAGATCTTCCTCTCTGTCTCTCCTCCTCTCTGTATATCTGACTTTCCAATAAATAAATAAATCTTTAAAAAAATAAATTTGATATATCTCATCTGGTAGACAGTTATTCTATCAAAGTTTGCAAATATTTCCACTTCCTTTTTAAAAATGATGACTATAAGTTTCATTGTTTATTGATTTGAAAAGACATTGTATTGTTTGTGCTTGGTTGTCTGGACTGATGGAAGGAAGTCTCTAGGACTGACAATTGATTACAAATGATTCAGTCTAGCTACAGAACTTAAAATAGAATCTGTGAGACAGTATTCCATGTCAACAACAACAACTTTGATAATCTGTCTCCGTTTTATAAAACAGGAAACTCAGTTTCTACTTCATTAGGAGTCCTCCTTTTATTCAGGTGTAGAAATGCATACCTCATATATCTTCATTTCCTATGAGGCTAGACTCATTTTACAATTCATCTGTGAGAATATCTATATATACATGTTTTCCTATATATCCCATTTGTTTTGTTTTATGCATGAAGGTTGCCTTACATTGGAGAGAATACATGATATTTGTCTTTTGGGGATTGGCTTATTTCACTATGTATAATGGTACTCACTACGGAAATCAGTATGAAGAATACCAAGATGACTGAAAATTTATCTACCATATGACCCAGCTAACCCACCTCCTGGGAACATTTCCAAAGGAAGTGAAATCTGCATATGAAAAAGTAGCTGCATATCCGTAGCTCTATATCTGTAGCAGCACAATCTACAATAGTGAAGACATGGAAACAACCTGATACATGTTTAAAGAGGAATAGATAATATATGTGGTACCTCTACTCTATGAAATACTACTCAGCCATTAATAAGAATGGAATTCTACCATGTGCAACAAAATGGTCCCAGCTAGAGATTACTAAGCTCAGGAATGTGCTTTAAAAAGAGAGCCAAATAGCCTACACTGCTGTGCAATTAGATTTGATAGCTAAGAGTCACCCTATTGGCCATAGATTTTTATTGGACAAAGACAAATATGAGGACAAAGTGTGAATGCTACAGCAACAACTGCTCTGTAAAAAATAATATATGTGGCAGAGTTCTAACTTCTTAATATAAGTTGATTACTGTAATCATCACAACAAATAAACTGTGAAGCTGACTTTATTATACTATGTTTTTAAGAAAATATCACATAGAGAAGTTAGTTGCCCAAAAGACAATTTTGGGTCTACTGTTATTTAGGGATTTCTATTACTTGCAGTTGAGTTTAAACTCAGTAAACCTTTGGAAAAGAAAGTTAAGCAAACTTTACTAAGTTAAGTTCAAGGGCTGATGTCCAAGACCTGATTGCCAAGATTCCTTTCCTGTGGGAGGGGCCTCTCCCGAACAGATCATGCAGCTCAGCCTCCTCCTCCCGCCTTCCTTTAGGATTCAGACACAGAACAAGCATGATCTGTTCAATTAGGCAACAAAGCCGTAACATGAGTTTACAAAGGACAAAATAAACAAAGGCTGACTTCCTCTTTGGAGTGCCCAAAGTCTTAAGTGGGCCTCCATGAACGTCAACAGGAAAAGCAGCTCCAGTATGACCATCACTGCCACGTCCACATAATGACATAACTACCATAAGACAGGTGCTGAGGCCTCTGAAGTCCCAATATGCTCTACTTCTAATACACAACTCTATCAGGGGGAAAAAAACTCAACTTCAAAAGTGAGTGTGAGAATATGCATTGTCATAAATCAGTTCACTCATAGTATCAGCAAGGTAAGCAAGCTGTTTGGAGAGGCATACTGAAGCACAGTAACACTACAGAAGGACGGTGAGTCGGGTTGTTGTTGTATCAGTCAGGAAGCTTGTATCTGGAAGTGCAGAGGTTCATCAACATTGATTACCGGTGCTGACAGAATTAAGGTCTACAATGCTATACGTTCTCATTGAAATAACGAGTATAAGAACAAAAATAATCTTACCTTTATCATCCTGGAGAGGTCACCAGCATCAGCTAATTCCAAAACTATATTTAATTCATTATCTTCAATGAATGATGCATAATATTTAATTACATTTGGATGATTGAGTTGCTGAAGAAAATGAACAAAACAAGCATCAGGAAGTTTTCATTGTAAATTCCCATGAATCATGTAAGCACTGTAATCTTGAAATAAGCTTAGTGACTGTATCTCATATTTAAAGAAACTTTACAATGGTACAGGATTTTTATTTGAAGTGAATTTTATCAGTGATTTACTGAAAAACCTCAAACCAAATAACCTGAAGTTATTGGAGATTATGTACTTAATACTTTTAAAAGTATTGATATGCTCAGTAAACATAAATAATGCAAACAGTCAAGGGAAGAATGAGATCGCCAACTGCTAATATGAACTCTCATCTCAGGGCATCCCGCAGTAAGTGCAGCAGCCTTTTGCTTCTCCTCTGAAGGCCGATCCTAGCAGAACTTCAGTCCTTACCAACAACAACAAAAACAGTCTCTACCATATGGTATTTTGTATAATATAAAAGTATCTTGCTTTCACATCAATTGTTACAAATATTTAGTAGTTATCCATGTGAGTTGATCTGTAGAATCATCCCCAAAAATTCCACCTGTAGAAACATATGCACTAGTTTACACACATTTACATATGTTTCTTTTTTTTTATTAATTTTTTTATTAATAAAATTTATTTTGACATTCTTTACATACTTAGTTAGAGTAAGAAGGTTCAAGGGCTACAGGAAAGTGGATAATACTAGTATGTTTTCCATATTGTTACCTTCATGTTACATATGTTTCTTAAGGAAAATTATTCAACAATTACAGCTAACTTTCTTCTGAACGTTTTACTTAAAGTTTTCTCTCTACATATACTGTGCAGATTATTTTTATATCATTTCTTGATTCGCACCAGTTACATTTTTTAAAGATTTATTTGTTTGAAAAGCTGAATTACAAAGACAGCACCGTCATATTCACTAACTTACTCTTCCAATGGCCACAATGGTCAGCTGTGGGCCCAGCGGGAGCCAGAAGCCCAGAACTCCATCCAAGTCTCCCAGCTGGACAGCAGGGCTCAAGTAGTTGGGCCATTTACCCAGCACATTGGCAGGGAGCTGGATGAGAACTAGAGCCACAAGGATGTGCACTGGCAGCAGCTTAATTTGCTGCACACTAGCACTGACCCCTGATATGTTATTTTCTATTTTTTTTAAACTAAACTTTCTGGACAAACCACTGCAGAGAATTTTTTTTTAAGATTAATTTACTTTATTGGAAAGTCAGATATACAGAGAAAAGGAGAGGCAGAGAGAAAGATCATCTGTCCTCTGGTTCATTTCCCAAGAGGCCGCAACAGCTCCAGCTGAGCCAATCCAAAGTCAGGAGCTGGGAGTTCCTTCCTGGTCTCCCAGGGTCCCAAGGCTTTGGGCCATCCCCTATTGCTCTCTCAGGTCACAAGAAGGGAGCCAGAAGACACAAATCGGCACCCAAATGGGATCCTAGCACTTGCAAAGCAAGGACGTTACCCACTTAGGCTACCACACTGGGTCCCGTGATATGTTATAATAAAAGCTAAAATACATTACTTCATGTGTCAAGAAATAATTAAAAATAACAAAATACTTTGGAAGAAGAGTTAATCAGGACTTTACCGTTTTGAGTGAGTCTGATTCATTTTAGATAGCCTAGGATACTCTAGTCTGAATTAAAAATAAAAACATGCCATAAGCAAGAGCATTTGCCTACAGGAGCTTAACCAGAAAAGATCTTCTGAAGCGAATGAGAAACCTCAAACCAATTTCTGATATCGACTTCATGTCCATTCTCTCTATGCCTAGGAAAATTATTTAGAAATATTATAAGAATATGAATTATTTATATTAGTCCACATTCTCAGTGTAATACATTCTGAGATATTACTCATGTATGCCCTGTATTCCTTAAGCTCTAAAATGAATCGGGCTGGGATGGTCCACAGAAGTTTTGCTGGGGTAGATGTTGTGGCACAGCAAGTTGAGTCCCTACTCACGATGCAGGCATCTTCTATCAGACAGCTTAGGATCGAGGTCCATCTCTGCTTCTGTTTCCAATCCAGCTGCCTGCTAATGCACCAAGTGGCAGATGGTGCCCCATGTAACTGGATTGCCACCACGCATGTTGGAGGTCTGGATGCAGCCCTGGCTCCTGGCTTCAGGCAGGCCAGGCACAGGTCTTGTGGTCACTTGATGAGTGACCTCTCTCCTTCTCCCTCTTTCTCTCTCATTCTGCCTTTCAAATAAATAAAATGTTAAAAAAAATAAAAGAGGGCAGTCTTCAAAAATACCAAGTCTTCTAAAGAATTTTACCTTCCTCTCATCTATTTCAAGTTTGAAATAAGTAAGAACATTCTCCTTATTTTATAATAAATCAAAAATGCAATTACATTCTTCAATGTACTGAAATTCAAAACTTAAATAATGTTACCTGAAGTTGGTGTGGCACAAGTTTTTCAAATCCTTTTGCATTTCAGCGTGGTATTTTAATAAATCACTTTCACTTACATGCTCAGCAATGTTTGAAATAGCCAGGAGTTCATTATTTACCTTAAGGAGGTCTATTTCTTTGATGCAGTCAGCTCGTGCTTTGGCATCCATCAAATCAAATATCTGAAAACAAAATTGACAGATATTTACTAAAGTTACGATTCAAGTTACCATGAATTTCTTTAAAATGGTGTCTACATAGCATGCACACACTTGCTTTCCTATTAGCTTTGAGCAACTGTGAAGATCAACAGCATTTCGGCTCAGCTCACATGACCAGTAAACCTAACATTCCTCTCTTCAGAGACAATCAGTGTAAAAGAGAAAATAGCCCCACTTCCTTCCATGCAGCTCCCTGCAACAGCCTCGGAAAGCAGATGAGCACGGTCCAAGTCATGGGACCCCTGTACCCATGTGGGAAAACTAAAGCAGACTTTTGGCTACTGGTTTCAGATCTGCTCAGCTCTAGCCAGGGCAGCAATGTGGGGATTGAACCAGCAGATGGAAGATGCTTCTGTCTCTCCTTCTTTGTATATATCTGCCTTTCAAATAAACAAATCTTTTTTAAAAAGAGAGAAAGAGAATAGCTACATGTATCTTGATTCTCTGTTCTTAAATTCAAGTGAAGAAAATGGAAGTTCTGATCAATAATAAAATTAGTCCACATTGAATCATAAATATATACTAAATATGCTGCACCAATTACCATATCTATTTTTGTTCAGTCCTTATGAGGATGATGCTAGTATTCCCATCTCCAGAAGAAGACAAGGGAGTTTAGAAAGTTTAGCAGGGGTGAGTATTTAGCATCGCAGTGGATACCAGCTGGGCCTCCTTACCCCATACTGAAGCACATGGGTTTACTTCACAGTTCCACTGCTGAGTAGTTGAATGCTAATACACACTTTGAGAGGCAGTAGGTGATGGCTCAACTAGGAGGCCCAACCTGAGTTCCCAGCTCCCAGGCAGGAGAGGAAAGCAGTGGGTGGGAGCTTGTAATCTGTCTCCATCTCTCTGTGTTTGCATCCCAAGTTTTAAAACACAGTAACTAAAAAAAAGCTTAACAGACTGACAAAGGTCACACAGCTGACCAACAGAACATCAGAATGTATACTCAGAATTATTCACCACAACATGAGCTCTGAGCAGTCAACCTCATGCTCAAAAGGGGAAGTAGTGATTCTTGTTGGGGTTGAATCACTCTAAAGGGACGAAAACTGCTTCTTCTCTTCCTAATTATAAAGAACATAGGCCATATGTAAACAGATGTGCTACACACACAGCAATGACATTTCTTGGGAAAAATAATTTAAAGTAACAATATTTGAAAGCCTCCTTGGAGAAAGCAAGGGAGGTTGAGCAATGTACATCTAATGTTGAAAAGCACTGAACTACATTAAAGTACATTCAAAAGGATATTTCACAAGTCTTCAAAAGAAGAAAATTCTAAGCTCTAAAGCTGTGGAAAATAAAAAATAGTAATTTCATCACTGTAGCCAGCACTACTAATTTTTCAAAGCCTCAGTCACATTTTGAGACAATTTGGTCAAGTCTTCCTGATTCCTTTGGCCAGTTTGGTCCAGGAGGAGTAGATGCAGAACTTGTAAGTGCCACAACGAAGCAATTCTCATCTGGAATGACTGAACATCTTTTCACAAGCTGAGACAGTCTTTACTGCATTTGTGTAACATAGGCAGTACTGGCTCCAATTTACAGAGGCCTGAAACTCATACAGAGGCTCAGAACACATCAGAACCAGGACATTGGGCGGTGTTTTCTCCATTGGCCCAGGCTGCCATGAAGTCTAACGCATATACAACCAAGTAGATATACTAAATGTGTGTGTGTGCAAGTGTGGCATCAGAAATCTACACAAGAAATCCCCATGTGGGCAGGAGGTAACATCAGACCCAAACTTCCAAGAGTTACAGGGAAGAACTGATATCTAATGCATCTAAAATTACAGCTTAGGAAAGGTAACTGCTGGATAGCATTTGTAACATACAAAAATGCATATTTCTAGTTTGTCCTCCATTAAAAAATAAAAAGTCAATGAAGATATTAAATAAAAATGTAAAAACCAAAAAAAAATCTACAAACTCACTGCCATTCAGTATTTAGGCATTTTTATTCAATATTTTCCATTTCTAGCACAAACACTTTTTTTTTCCTTTTTTGGTCTAATGAAAGTAGTTCATAAACTAGACAATATGTATTGTTATCTAACATTATAGGAAAAATGATTTTCTTTTTTTTTTTGTCGTCTTCAAGGTATTTGGGCTCTACTATCTCTAATGAAAACTTCCAACACTGATTTTATGTTTTGCAAGTTTTAATGTAGAATGACTGAGTACTGCATACTGTTGCAAATTTGAAAAAACACAGAATCATATTTTAGTTCATGGTTTATAAAAAATAGCCAAGCTAGAAGACATCAAGTTTCTCCCTTTCAACAAACAACAGAAAAGGAAATGCAGAGAAGAGAAATAGCAGATTCTACTCAAACCATGAGTGCTAACACCATTCCACGAAACGACTAGTCGCGAGGGACTTTGAGATAATTCAGTATGCAGGCAGGCACAAAACTTAAGCATCTTTTTAAATGATTTATTTATTTTATTGGAAAGACAGCTATCCAGACAGAAGGAGAGACAGAGTGAAAGATCTCTGTCCACAAATTGACTCCACAAGTTACTTCATCGGCATTCCGAAGCCAGGAGCCAGGAACCTCCTCCAGGTCCCCCACGTGGGTGCAGTGTGCCAAGGCTTTGGGTCATCCTCTACTGTTTCCCCAGGCCACAAGCAGGGAACCGGAAAGGGAGTGGAACAGCCTGGACATGTACTGGCGCCCATCTGAGATCCGGCACATGCAAGGTGAGGATTTAGCCACTAGGCTATCACACTGGGCCCAATTTTAAGCATCTTACATCTTGAAGGACATCTTTAAAAAATCAGAAGACTCAATAATGTTGGTACTGGTGATTAAAACAGACACAATCATGAGCTTGGAGACACATACTAACTAAAGCTCCCATTGTTCAGTGTCCTTCTGGTGGGCATGAGAGCGTTAAGAAATGCACTTTATTCAAAACATCAATGTAGAAAAATGCTAAAAGCAATGGCGCCTGTAACTCAACTTATAATCAATTTAGAATTATAAATCAATTTATATTTTTACTGAATTTTCAATAATATCAGAAGTTGGTTCTAAAACACCAGAAAGAATAAGCACTGAAGATAGATTTACAGCAAAGCTGACGTCTGGCCCAATTTAGAAAATGTATCTTGTCTTTCTTTTTCTCCTAGTAGGTAATCAAGATTAAAGTAAACACTGACTTTTTAGATGAAGTGATTCCCAGGCACAGACTCAAAGCTGCCGGGTCATTTCATGAGCTTAGAAAAGCCAATAGGTATAGGGAGGGGAAGAATCTGGATGCTATAAATATATTTTTCATAAAATATTGATAAGCAAGGCTTCAGAAGTTGTCTTTTTCAGCTCTACCAAAGTTTCTTCAGCTTTTTAAAATATTTTACACTTGGTAAGAGCAAAGTTGCAGTAAGCAAATACTGGCTCATATATTTTTGATTCTCTGCATCATTTTAAAAGTTTTCCTCTGTCATCTACAGGTTTTCCCAACATTACTCACAATTACTGAAGTTGAAAAAGTTAACATTAGGTATTTTAAAAGAGAAATAGGCCTTAGAGTTAGTTAACCAAATTGTCCTTAAAAGGCATGTGTCAAACTGTTACAAGAAAAATCACTTAAAATATAAGCAAAGAAAGTACTTAAATACCTACGCTCAAGCCTGGCTTCTTTCATTTTAAATAAGCCTTGCATCTCACGTGTATAGAGATCACAAGCCCTTTCTCCCAGGTCTGGCCATTTGAAGCCCTGGGGCAGCCGTCCCTCAGCGGGGTACCTCCCTCAGCGGGGTACCTCCCTCAGCGGGGCACCTCTGCACTCCAGGCGGCAAGGCCCCTTCCCTCTGCTTCCAGCCTGGGTCGGGCCTCTGCACTGTCCCATCCCTGCCCCTTTTAGCCTGCTGCTCCTGTAATACTTCCACCCCTGTCTTCAAACAGTCTGAAGACCACAGACACACTCCCCACATCTGCTGTGGCAGAAGAGGAAGCGGGGGATCTCTCTTACTCCTTACTCTTCCACATAGAATAGGAATAGATTTTACTTCCAGCTTACAAATATCTGGGGTTTTTTTCCTGCCTATATGAATGACAAAGATTTTTCCCTTCCAGAATTTATCCCTATTTAAAGAAGTAAAGGATGAGTGAGCAAAAGGGGCCTGTCTACACAGAAATCACATTTAGCTAGCAGAAAATTTCCAAAGTCTACCACCAGCATCTTATTGCCTAAACACAAAAACTTTCTAAAAAGTAGAAGGGAAGGTTACAATTTTAGCACAATTGTAATACAGGCCTGAAGCACAAATATTTGTCTTCCAAAAGGTTTAAGAAATGGTTGCATAATTAGAGAAACTAAAATTAATTTTACATCATTTCAACTAGAAAGTAACATTTAGGGGGCTGGTGTCAGGGCTCAACAGGCGCCACCTTCAAGCACTGGCCTCCTAGAAGGGAATAAGAAGGGAATACTTGGGGTCAAGCTCTGGCTCCAGTCCCAATTCCTGTTTCCTACTAATGGACACCCTCGGTGGCATCAGGTGAAGATTCAAAGACTTGAGTCCCTGAAATTCACATGGAAGAGATAAGTTCCTGGCTCCCTGCTTAGATCTTGCCCAATCCCAGCTGATGTGAGCACCTGGAGTGTGGATAAAAGGTCTCACTTTGTCTCTCCTCCTGTGTCTTCCTGCCTTTATAAATAATACTGCTATATTCGAAATAGAAAATGCATAATATCAACATTTAATAAAGCACTGAGGAATGGCATAACACAAAAGGACACACATTCACTTCCCATAGCAAGTTGATGTTTGTCACAGTACAACAGAAGGAAGATATCTTACAAACAGAAGTGTGCAAGCCAATTCCTACCCATTCAAATTTCCAATCAACAAGAGAAAATATAGGCAAGTGCAAATAACCTGGATGGTGCTGGAAGGGATCTACAGGAGCGCCCGCCCTCCTCCAATCCCCGCCATCTCTTATTTATTTCTTACTTTATTTTCTTGATTTGTATCCTTACTGACAAAGTTACACAAGTTAAGCAATAATCACAGAAGGCAGACCTGAATTGTCTTTTTTACACTCAGAATCAGTAAGGAGGCAGAGGGGCATCCAAGAAGGTCCCAGGGGTCTCCAAATCAGTTTTTCTACTGATCGTAGTACACAGCTATCATTCTGTATACTGAGTGTGTAATTTTGTTTTGAAACAAGACTTTTGAAGATTATTATCCTACATGAAAATCTATAGAGAATCCTTATTTGCTGGCTAGACAAACTCCAGTGCTCTTGACAATGTGGTCACACATTTACAGCCTGGCTTAAGTTCCAACTGCCTCAACCCAATGGCTCAAACTAACACCTCCATTCTGTGAGCTCTTATTGAAATCATGATCCATGCTAGAGGGTTTATTATTTAATTGTCGGGACAGTATCATTCTTGGCTTTTCAATTACTCTATTTTCCCTCAAAGCTCAGAGCTACACAGGAAATCCAATATATCCTTTAAAATGAACCAGGGTTTTTGTATAAGCTAATAAGCACTCCAGACGTCATCAGTTTCACAAACAGTAGTATCTGGATTCTACATTCACTGTCACAGGGAGATTGGAAGAGAGACAACTGTAATTCTTATATACTGCTGGTGGAAAAACCCAACAACTTGGCATTAACTTGTAGTAGACATGCCATGCATCCCCTGTGGCTCATTATTTCCATCTCAGGTACAAACAAAACAAGAAAGCCTTGTAAGCGTGTACTGGGGAAGGCCTATCAGAATATCATAGGGACACTGTTTATAACAGGAAACAATTGCAAGCAACCTTCACAGGGACCACCAAGAACAAATGGGTGCCATGTGTCAGGTGAAAGGTCAGCACACATGCAATGACATAGATTAACTGCTAAAATATATTATCTACAAAAGCAAACTGCAGGCACTGGAAGGTAACTATTGAATGTACATAATGCACACACAACATGTTTCATTTCTATAAAATTTAAAAAGATATTTTATTCTAGAAATTCCTACAGATGTAGGAGAAAACTATATATTAAAAAAAAAAAAGGAAACTACACACACTTAATTCAAGACATGGTTACCTCTGAGGGAGCAGAGTAAAAAAGCCAAGTCAAAAATGTTTAACGTTTGCTTAAATTGGTTGTAAATATGAAGCATTTCTACAATTGTTTAACATAGATATCATAGAAATCTTAACAATTCTGGGTTGTGCAGCTTTGTTATAATCACTCTAGTCCTTGCTGAATGCAGGTAAACAAGAACAGCCAGATTTTTAAAGACTGAAAGCAATGTTAACACTGCAAACTAGTGTGTGTATGGCAGAGGTTGGGGACTGGGCAGGAGGAAGGGATCATTATGGTGCAGCAAGTAAAGCTACTACCTGTGACACTGACATTCCGTATGAGCTGCTGGCTGGCTGCTCCATTTCTGAGCCAGCTCCCTGCTAATGCACCTGGAAAAAGCAGTGGAAGAAGGTACAACTGCTTTGGTTCCTGTTGCCCACGTGGGAGACCCAGACGAAGCCCCTAGCTCCTGACTCTTGGTTTTGGTCAGGTCCAGCACTGCTCATTATCACCATTTGAAGATTGATCCAGTGAAGGGAACATATCTCTATGCATCTGTTCCTCTCTGTGTGCAATACTACCTAATCAATAAAGATCATCTTAAAAGTTAGGGAGTAGGCATTTAGTCTACCAGTCAAGACACTCATGTTTCACGTCGCAATGCCTGAGTTTTCATCCCAGCTCCTGACTCCAGCTTTCCACCAACGCCCACCTTGGGAGGCAGTAGTGATAGCAACTAACTGGCTGCCACCCCTCTGAGAATCTCAGGTTTCCCCCTGGCTCAGCCCTAGCCAGTGGAAACATCAGGCAAAAAAACGAGGAGGTAAAGAACTCAACATTCTGCATCTCAAACAATAATCATGAAAAAATGTTAAAAGCAGAAGTTAGTTTCAATCTTTTTTTTTGTTTTTTTTTTTTTAATTAAAGAACAGGTGCTACCTCTCCCTCGAATATAAAGTAATATGCAAGGGCCCGGCGCGGTGGCGCAGTGGTTAAAGGTCCTTGCATTGCACGCCCCCGGGATCCCATATGGGCGCCAGTTCTAATCCCGGCAGCCCCGCTTCCCTTCCAGCTCACTGCCTGTGGCCTGGGAAAGCAGTAGAGGACGGCCCAAAGCTTTGGGACCCTGCACCCACGTGGGAGACCCGGAAGAGGCTCCTGGCTTCGGACTGGCATAGTATCGGCCCGTTGCGCTCACTTGGGGAGTGAATCATCGGACGGAAGATCTTCCTCTCTGTCTCTCCTCTCTGTATATCCGCCTTTCCAATGAAAAAATAATAAAAATAAATCTTTAAAAAAAAAAGTAATATGCAAAATGTGAGAAAGAGAATGAAGAAAAAATTCTATATTGCTTATAACATTATCAATTAGATGTGCTGTTTGTAAAACTTTGATTCTCTGTTTCCAATGTTTTCTGTGCGTATTTGTATCAGATTAAACAGTTTATGTCTTCCATTTTTTACATTATCATTGCAAAGCATATTTTCTACATAACTTTTTTCTATGTAATTTTTTACACTGCTACTCACTTCACCCTTAATATTTTTTTTAAAGATTTATTTTTATTATTTTTTCATTGGAAAGGCAGATATACAGAGAGGAGAGACAGAGAGGAAGATCGATCCGAAGCCAGGAGCCTCTTCCGGGTCTCCCATACGGGTGCAGGTTCCCAAAGCTTTGGGCCGTCCTCGACTGCTTTCCCAGGCCACAGGCAGGGAGCTGGAAGGGAAGCGGGGCTGCCAGGATTAGAACTGGCGCCCATATGGGATCCCGGGCGTGCAATGCAAGGACCTTTAACCACTTGCGCCACCGCGCCGGGCCCCACCCTTAATATTTATTTTGATTTACGCAGAATGCAAGAATTTTTCTTGAAGAAAGCAATGCTACTCTATGACCTACAAAAGTGAAGAAAAAATTTAAGAAATGAAAATAAAAATATCAGAACCCATGAGATGTAGAAAAAAAAACAGTATTAAAAAGGACATTTATAAATTTTCCCCAATTGTCTCCTGTGTTTTGTAGTGAAACAGGCTATCAAGTCTTGACTCCAACTTTTTGCTCTTTATGTAAATCATGACACCATTCGCATAGGCAATTTTAGAAAGTTTAATTTTCTGTTGTCAAGGTATATTTAGAAGTTTCGTTGAGGGTCTGCTTTGATTCAGTTGTAGAGATGTATTCTGTAGCCTGAATTTGATTCCTGGTACGCTGGTCTCCATTACATCCTTTGTTTGTGAGATTACCTTAGTTTTTGTTTTGTGTTCTTGATGGAGGTTGTGTAGTATTAGAGTGAACCTAAGATATTTGTCCTTTTGGGATTGGCTCATTGCACTGAGCATAATGGTCACCAACTGGGACCATTTGGCACCAAATGGTAAAATTTCATTCTTTTTAATAGCTGAGTAGTATTCCATAGAGCAGATGTACCACAGTTTCTTTATGCAGTCTTCCTTTAATGGGCATCAAGGTTTCCATGTTTTTGTAATTGTTGATTGTACTGCAATGAATATAGGGGTGCATGTTGCTTTCTAATGTGTGTGTATCAGTTCTTTTGGATATATTCCCAGGAGTGAGATTGTGGGTCATATGGTAGGGGAATTTTCAGTTGCCTGAGTACTGTCCACACCGACTTCGAAGCATAACGGTCATTCTTCCCAAATATTGTCAACGTTAGATTGCCATTACCAAATCATTCAAGAAACATTTTACACTACTTATTGTAACTATCCATTATTCAAATAGTCCAAATTTATACTGAATTACAGCCATCTTACCTGTACTTTTTTTAAAGCTACTGGTACTCCATCCAAGAGACAGGCTGCTCTATAAACTTCACTGAATTGTCCACGACCAATTTTCTTCTCTATCCGAAAGTTGGCTAATGTATTATAGCCCATATCAGGTCGTAAGGCTTTCTGTAATTAAAAATATCAGAACAATTTTCCATCAGAAAATGCGTACACAATTGCATACCATGTCTATATAAGCAAATGATACCTATGGTAAGTTTGCCAACATCTATTCACTCAACAAATACTTGCTGAATATATATTCACACCACTGTTCTAAACACTGAGGAACTTATATTCTAATGGGTGAGAAAAACAACACACACCATGGATATGAACTATATCATCGCAGGGCTAGTGATGTGGCACAGCATGTGAAGCCACTGTTTGCAATGCCAACATCCCATGAGGGTGCTGGTTTGAGATTTGGTTACTTCATTTCCAATCCACCTCTTTGATGGTGGCCTGAGAAAGGCAGCAGAAGATAGCCCAACTGTTTGGGCTCCTGCTACCCATGTGGGAAACCCAGGTGACACTTCTGGCACAGTCATTGCTGTTACAACCATGAGAGTGAAACAGTGAAAGGAAGAAACATGCCCCATCACACACCATCACCTACTTCTCCTCTTCATGTAGTTCTGATTTTCAAATACATAAAAACCACATATAGTTATAAATAACGTATAATTATATGTAAGTATGTATTGTTATATAGAAATATACATATATTTAATATGCAAGAGAGTAAAGCATGAAAGAAAAATAAATCGAGGGAGAGATACTCTATAGGAAAGAAAAGGATTTTGAAATCTTACATAAAAATGCCCTATTACTGCAGGCATTAGAGTGTGAACAAGTAAATAATGCATTTTTCTTTTTTGTTCTACTTTTCAAATAAATAAAATTTTAAATCATAAAATTTAGCACTGTTTTGACCAAATTAGCCCTGGGAATGTCACTGGGGATAAGAAATGGACAGGTACAAGATGGGGAAGGGCTCAATGTTCATTCTGTGCTTTTGCATAATATTTGGACAAGGAGATTGAATATGCTATCACAAACTGCAAACTGGAGAAGTACTTGTCTTTACAAGTTCAATTTGGCCAATGAAGTCAGGGTTAATATGACTCGCAATTATCAAATCTTGTATCCATACCATTATCAACATTATCAATCATGTTTCCCTCTTTAGTCTTTAAATCTAATTATGCTTTTTATTTCAAGACAACCACAGGTTCACATGTCATTGCAAAAAATAAATTCTATGTAGCCTTTGCCAGTGTTCTGTCAATATCACCAGTACATCATGGCGATAGAGTCAAAATACAGACCATTTTCATCACAAGGACACTTTATAGCACTGCTCTGCTCCCATCTGTGCCACTACTTAACACCTAGAACGCTACTATTCAAAATGTGTTAATGTATATTCAGGTGTCTTCTAAAAGTTTCATGGAAAATACATACTATAAAAAGCCTCACGGATTTTATACACAAACATATTTCTAAAAATGAACTCCCTGTAACTTTTGTTCACAAACTGTAAACTCATCACATTCAATCTAATGTTTGCCTGACAGTTCTTCCCTATTTTGCTCAAATAATCTTCGGGTTGAAGCAGACTTCCTCTGTACTCATTTAGTGCAACCAGTCAGTCGATGCATGACACTCTTCTTAACTTCCTAGGAGCTACTTAATTTCTGCAAAGAATGGTTCCGGTGGAACTACTTGCTTTACCAACATTTTTGCCACATGCACTCTGCCAAGCACCATGATACAAAGCAGGCAGGGATAGTGCACACGTGTTTTCTGTCCCAAACCACCTGAACAAGCACTGGGAGAGGCTTTCACTGGCACTGAGAACAGTGCGTACAGTGCTCATCTGATCAGGAGACAAAATTCAATGTACTTATTTTATCCACTGTCCTAGTTCTTTTGTTCATTTCTTGGGTAATGCCTTCATTCACTCACTTAGTCATTCCGTTATGGGGTACACACTAATGCAATGTCCACTAGAGTCAGACCTCGGAATACAGCATTTACTCCACGAATGCTCACCATTATGCCCCTGAAGGTGCTCATTTTAGTGTCACCTTTGATATAAAATGTAACAGAAATAGTCCATGTTAGCTACTGTACACCCTTGGGTTTTTGCTTTTCTGGCTAAGTATGCCAGGGTCTTTTCAGGATTTCCACAGTATTGACGACTACATTCTTCCATGCCTTTTACCACTCACCTATTAGCCATGTGAGCCCTGTTTCCTCTCTGAGCCAACTTCAGATAAACATGACATTGTTATGAGGCTTCACTATTATCCTAATGAAACTGAATATTAAACACCTGTTAATGCTTTCAAAGGCAGCACTGGAACATAAACACATAACATTCAACCTGAACTCGTGGGACTTCCAACAGACCCTTCTTAAGGCCAATGACGCTGTCACCTCATCTGATGCAGAAGTGTATCTTGATATATGAGCACTACCTTACACATTAACTACCTGCACATTTTATGTAGTTTCACCACATCAATCATGCCACAAAACGTGTTAAGTTCTATTTATTAACTATAAATAAAACCCAATATTTCTCAGAAAGAAAAATCCTACTGTAATTTAGATTCTTACACATAGGCTTTTATTCTTCTGAAAATTCAAAATATTGTCAAGAAAAATACTATTCTTCTTTTAAAGTATACAACATAACATGAAAAATTTTATGTCTCACAAATATGAGAACATTAGGAAATTGTTATGATAATGAGATAGAAACAGTAGCAATAATTACGATAACAGAAACAGCCTTTTTGGAGCCTGCAGCATTAACAGACACCATACATTAGAACTTTATTTGCCATCTAACACAAATTTAATGCTAATGTTATCATGTAGATGTTAGCAAACTAAATCTAGTCTAATTGATTAAGTGTAGCCAAAGCTATCCTGCCGTGTGACTAGTCAAAGCCACCCACAAGATGAGCCAACCTCACGGAACTTTCCATGATGATCCACAGGTATGACTACACTCAATTTCAACAATTTTGATTAAAAAATATGAAAAGTGAAAGTGTAAAAGTACACCATCATAAAAAGCATGGAAACAAAATGAAACTTCAGACCAACGGAGATAACTTGCTATTCCACGCCTTCCAAAGAGGAGTTCTTTCTGATGTAAACATATTTGCAAATGTGTTAGGGACAAAATGACATTCAGCATATAAAACAAACTCACAAAGCAGTCAGCTTTTAGATATACCCAATGAATATTAATAATTTTAAAGCGTCTTAAAAATACCGGTTTCTTTTTAAAGTAGTTTTAATTGCCTATGATTTTATAAGAATTTCTTTAGATGGATACACTAGCATACTCTACAACCCCTAAGAAACAACTTTCTTTCCTCTTCCACAAATAGGGATTGTCCCTTCTCTCAATGAAGTCTTGTCAATATTAGCAGTAAAATACAGCTTTATCACTGGGAACGCTATCACACAATCCACGCAGTTTAAATTTGACTGGGAATTCCATCTTCTGTCTGCACAATAACTTGACAAATATTAGCGTGAACTGCTAAGACAGTGTGACAACCGCATGCTGAGAGCAAAGTCTCACTAATGTGTTTTGGCGTGCAGGTTTGTAATCACACATTTACATATGCAATGACCTACATTTGCATGTCAGATCACACACTGTCTTGGTTTATTAAGACTGGGCACCTCCCTGTGCCAGGCGGCCAGAGTGGTGAGAGAGGGCCAGAGGGCGGTGTTTTTTGGCAGTTGAGGGATGAACTGCCACCAAGGATTAGGTTGATATGGCCTGAGCATTAGACACTTCATTAGACGTAATCTGTTTAACAGTGGGCAGTGTATGTAAACTTCACAGCCCATTTGCGGCACCTTTTTCCCCCCATGGCCTTTCTTCAAAGGGCAGTGTGGGTGAGTGACAGCTTGTCTCATCTGCTGCCGTGTCCTGTCACCCAGTGTCGATGTGGAGAGCTGACATGAGAAGGAGCATAGCTGCACATCTCCAACTACCCCTGGCTCTCGTTGCCACAGTGCAACTGGGATCAAAATAAGCGTGTGCAGAATGAGAGTTTCATCAAGAGATCAGCAAGCAGGTAAAATACCCACTTCAGTAACAATTACATTAGATTGTATTCATTGCCGTACTTCATTCTTATGAGTTAGAGCCAGCTGCTGGTCACACTATATTAGGCATTTTGAATAACAAATAACATCATTAAACATGTTCCCATTCAAGAAAAGGTTTATTTTTAGGAAAAAGTTATACTCTCCTTTTTGAATGATGTCTAATTCTTTACACTTGCTTTTTTGTTTATCATTTGGGATTACACAGAAAATAAAATAACTTGGAAAAGCAATGGGAGTCAACCTACCATGAAATATAAACCAAGCAAAGTCACTGACATTGGTGTTTCCTGCTCTCAATTAGAGTGTAAACTGAACCTTAGTGACCAGGGTGGTTTTCTAAGCTATACAAACAGCTTTTGAATTTGAGATGAGTCACTTGCAGGACCTCCAACTCTCCTCAAAGTGCAGACTCCCTTTGTTTTTTCCTCTATAAAATGAGAGTGATGATGGCTCGCCTCAACACAATGCAGCTGAAGCCACTTCTGCAAGCAGCGTGGACCCCATCCAGCAGTACCACCACTTGTTGGTCCATGTGCACATGAGTGTTGGTCCTCACCACAGCACAGCCTCTGTGTGTGCCCAACCACCCAGATACCTCTGTTCACACCCGCAAGCTCTAGATCATCGTTGAGGTTCACTGCTGCTGCTCCCTCCTATAAGAAATCAGCCCACATTCACTTGGGCAGCTTCACTAGTTTCTGCCTCTGCACTGCCACAGCACGGACAGCTGTCATTCATTACTATAAGAAGTTGTACCAACTTGGGGTCCTGTGCCAGAATTTTTGTCACTTTTGTATATAGATGGTATGAAGAATGCAATAAATAAACATCTACTACCTAAGTGAATGTACTTTAAAGAACTTTTTTTTCAAGCACTCAGTCCATTTTTATTAAATACTTTGTGCCATGTATTCTCTCTGTCCTACACAATAATTTGGAGTTGATTACCAGTGACTGTTTAGAAAACAGAGCAGGAA